AGTTCAGTTCTGATGATCTCTTTACAGCACTTCAACAGGGATGTTATCCTTCCCAGGTGCCTTACTGGAGGCGAGGGTATCTAAGGCCGCTTTTGTTTCTGCTAAAGTTGGTTCGCTCTCCAACTCTTCCAAGACAGACAGGCACTTGATGTTATTTAATGCCTATTCGGTTACTACATTCCCTCTAGAATACAGCGCAGAGTAGCACTGCACCCAGTGTTCCATCTGCTGTGCTGGGTCCTGGATGATCACACCTGTAGCAGACATCAAAGCAGCAGATTTCTTCTGTATTGGACATAAAGCCTGGTTGACACTGTCATAAATTCCCTTGTTGTTACCTGTTTATGCTGCTATCTGTATCTGAGAGCAGAGCTGAAGCCAATAATCGTTAGAAGATCTCCTGGCAGTCTGTTGGACTCTGCTACGAGTAACTCGAAGAACCTGCAAGTTGTACTCACTAGGACAGGCTTTGTATGCTGCTAGAGCTCTCTTTTTTTCCTTGATGGCTGACATCAACTCCTCCGAATGGACTTCGAACCAATCTGCCATCTTTTTTGTCTTCTTGCCAAATGTGAACAAGGCAGTGTTATAAACAGCATTTTTGAAGTGTTCCCATTGTTCAGGTGCATTTGCATCATTTGGGCCTGGAAGAGTTTCCTCAAGCACTTGGACAAATTCCTTCGCTTTTCTCTGATTGCGAGTCTTGCTGATGTCAATATGTGATCTTCCTTCCTTTTTTGTGTGACACAATCTCTTTATTTGCAGTTTTACTCTACTACACAACAGGGAGTGATCAATATCACAATCAGCACTCTGATAACTGTGTGTGCTCATAATACTAAGAAGGCTAGAATACCTAATGAGGATCAAATCGAGCAATGCCAATGCTTCGATCTCGGATGTCTCCAAGAGACTCTGTGTTGAAGCTTCATATTAAAGAACATGTTGCTGTCACAAAGACCATATTAACAGCAAAACTCCAGCAAGTGTTGACCATTTTCGTTCATCTTCCCAATGGCAAAACAGCCTAGACAAGTGGGCCAAGAATTGTGATCAGCACCAACTCCAGCA